CCCCCTCTCCCCACCTCCTCACCCATACGGATTAACGCCCTTCTCAACGACCTGCCTCGCCTTCGGGACCTTATAATCCCGCCCCTTGAGCGCCCACACCGCCAAGCTCGGGACATTCCAATCGAACAGCACGCCGACGCCGCCGCGCTTACTACACGGCATGAGCAAGGTATCCGTCGGATTCTGGACATAGGCCTTATCCACCAACGCTCTCAACTCAGCCTTCAGCCGCTCGCTGCCAGACGGAAAGCGCATCGCCAGCTCAAACGCCAGCAAGTCGTTGCGCAGATTCGCCACCACGGCCGGCAGCGCCTCGTACACATCGAGCGTGTAGTTATTACTGTAGGCGGCACAGTCGCCCAATGCGAACACGCGCGCCCCCCCACCTACCACGCGCAGCGTCTCCCGCGCCGTGACGACGTACCCCGCCGCGTCGAGCAGCCGGCTGGGCATGTATGCAGTGTTAGGGTACACGCCCGTGCACGCGACGTACAGGTCCGCCTGCACGGTCGTGTCGTCGTTGAGATGGCAGGCCGCGCGCCCCGTACTGCCGTCCTCGGTCGCCGCGATCAACCGCACGTTGTGCAGGACGTGGACGCCGTGCCGGCGGAGTTTGCGCTCCGCTTTTATGCCGTACGAGGGCGCGAGCTGGGGGAGCAGTCGGTCGTGCCCTGATAGCAGCGTTATCGTCTTCGGCTTGCGCGGCGGGTCCCACGCGACGCTGGAGCCGTGGACACGGCTGCGGTGCCGCGTAGCGCTGCTGCTGGAGCCTGTGCCGGCGCCGTTGTTGTTGTTGTTACTGCCAGCCGCACCGTCGCTGTTAACGCCGCCCTGTCTAGCGCTCAAGCCAAGCGCAGCGCGCAGCCGTGCCAGCCTCGAGCGCTGATTGAAGTAGACGCCGAGCTGGCCCGCGGTCTCGACGCCAGACGGGCCGCCGCCGACTACAAGGATGCTGTTGGCGTCGCGCAGGCGCTCGTGGAAGTCGTCGAGCGCGGCTTGGGTTTGCTTGTGGCCGCCGTGCAGGGACAGCAGGGGGGAGTTGGCTGAGCTGCCTGTGGCGAGCACTAGCGCGTGGTATGGGAGGGCTTGGACGGCTGTGGTGCTGGCGGTGGAAGTGCGATGGTGGGCGCTGCTGCTACTGGTGGGGGGCGCGGCGAGTGTCACGGCGACGTTGCGGGCGTCCGTGTCGAGCAGGCTGGCGGTGCCCTGGATGAAAGTGAAGAGCTCAGCGGGGTAGCGGTCGAAGCCATCAACAATGCGGATGAACGAGTCGGTGTAGGGAATCAGCTGGTTCGAGACGAGGCATTTGGGCGCCGAGATATTCCAGAACAGGTGCGTCGACGGCGAGACCAGCACGACGCGGTACTTGGGGGCTTTGTCGAACGTGCCCAGCGCTGGCATGATGTTCGTCAGCACGTTGTGCGCGACAGAGAGCCCGGCAAAGGACGCGCCCAAGATGACGATGTTCAGTGTTTCTGGCACGGCCGGTTCCTGCGATGCCATATCGGTTGGAGTGTCTCACTGAGCTGCGGAGGTGCGTTTGTTGAGGCTGACAGGTGTGACTGAGTAAGAGAGACTTGACGCTTGAAGGAAAGACGAAGCAACAAAGGGGGCAGCCGACTTGGACTTGGAGAGCCAAGGCCGTGTAGACGGAGTGGCATGTTTTTCCCCCATGATTTATGAGCTCAGGCAGGGCAACAAAGAAACATTGACGGACGTGGTCGAAGATCTATTGTCGTCGACGGCCAAGCGCGGCTTGACCTCTTGGGAAAGCTCGGCCAAAACACAGGAGCCAGCCGGATTCGACACTAACACTGAACAATAAAAACGCAAGGAGTGGATTTGGAAGTTGAGGCTCGCCAAGACGAAAACATGCAAACGTTTTCTGCAAGTCGTTGTGGAACGGTTACACGGAAAGGCTCGCGCACCGGCAGATAGTATCGACGACGACCAATGCCATGGGAAGCAGCAGGTACAAATACCGTTTCCTTCAGCAACTCCCCTTGCAACTGTGGGTGAGTGCTGACTGACGCGTCGATTTGAAAAGCACCCAGTCTAGACATGAATTCCAAAAGAACATACGCATGAAAGACTCATATTCACGGCCAGACAGGAAACTTGACTGATTCGTCTGAGATCAGGACAAAGACAACAGCAAGCATCAATGAATTTCAAGATCCATCAAGCAGCAGCACCGAAACGATGAAGTAGCTATCGCCAGGCAGCTAAGCGGTTCAGTACCAAGCGGGCAAGCAGGACTAACAGCTCAACATCAGCGGCTATAGATTCGTAGTATCCGAGTACAACACAAACCAGCTCGACATCGGGGAGTCGCTTGGGGGTGCTGACGGAGTTCTCGGGAACGACAGTGCGTTTTACTGTAGCTCCCAACGGCTCTTTACGACATGGGCCATGTCCGCAGGCGAAATAGTCTTTAAGACTCTTTTTTGCCGGGCTCGGAGGCGGCTGGGGAGGCGGAGACGGCGGGTCGTCGCGCGAGAACTGGCGCAGCCCCACAGAGGCCGAGGGGTTGGCCCTACACAGCGTCGGGGCCACCGTTGGATGGAGAACGCAAGCAAAGCTCTTGAGACGATCCTCATAATAGACTGGGAGGACGCAGTCGGCGGGCAACATTGTGAGGAGATCTGAGGCAAGATCTGAGAGCAACAAGGAAGGAAAACCAAGGGCAGCAGAGAGTCAAAAGATAGAGCAATCGGCGGTTGGAGACCGCAGCTCCATGCTGGCCAAAAAGGCGCGTTAAGAAGGCCTGGCTGACAGATACCGTACGACAGCGCAAGCCAGAGCAAAAGGCAAACACGGCGCTTGTCGTGCATTATTCCTCGAGGCACCAGCCGGGTGGGGGGCGCGACGGCAGAGAGGCGTAGCACACACACACAGCGGTCGGCAAATATCCTTTCCAAGCACCAAAGGGCAGCCAGCCATGGTGGAAGGAGGCAGCGGTACGACCTTGGTTCAAACGCTCGAACTAGTTTTGTCTGGTACAAACATTGCCCGCCCTGCTGGTCACCGTCTAGGTACCTGCCGTCTGGGTACCTACCGTCTGCTGCTCAAATGCATGCTCGGCCAAGCAAGCGTCCAAGTGTTGCCGTGCGAGACTGCGCTTGGCGGCGCGCTGGGCAGGCAGGACATCTGAACCCATGTGGTGCGACGGCACATATTGCCATAGCCCCTTGGGTACGTACCTACGGGGCGGGGCGGACAGGCACAACTAGGCAGTTTGCCAACTCGCCAGGCTATGCTATTCTAGCAAACACCTAGTGATGGGCTGACTAGGTTTGGGCGGCTATTGGCTATTGGCGTGAACGCACACTGGGATGCTGGGACGCTGGCTGCGCTGTTGTGTTGTGTTGTGCTCCTCCTGGTGCTGTGCTGAAAATGAAGTGTGTGTGTGGTGTGTGTTGTGGGTGAGAGGAGAGGTGGGAGGTGGGAGGTGGAGGTGAGGCTGAAGTGCGTCGGTCACGGCCCTTCGCTCTCCACTAAACCACCTCAACCAACCACGGACACTCTCCATCCCATCCACCGTCGCTTTGACGCTCGTCTCCTGTTGCACTAGGTGATGTGGAAGACACTTCTCCGGCGTCTCGCCTTGCCTAAGGCTAGGGGTAATTTGCTCACTCCTTTGGATATTTTGCGCAGCCCACGTGATAACACGCTTGCAAAAGTACCTATATGATTTACTCTCTATATACTTCCGCATAGCTTCACAAAGCGCCCAAACCCACACGCCCCACAGATATCAAACCTCAACCTCTAACCCCCACGCTCTCCCCAACCCCCCATCTAAAGCTTACTCCGTCCCCTCCCCTCCACGCCCCACAACTCAGCCCCAGGATTCCGTTCGCTCTTCACCTCCCTGCCCTCCTTCCCGCCATGCTGGACCTGGCGCTCCTCGTCCCGCGGGACCTCGTCGACCAGCAGCGCGGCGGTCGCCTTCATCGTGGCGGCGGCTTCGAGCTCGATGCGGCGGAGCAGCGCTTCGCAGGTGGGGATGTCGTGGATGAGGCCGATTACTTGGCCAGCTGTCCAGACCTGGGGGGGATGTGGTTGTAAGCAGAGGGTTTGGTATGGGGGAAGTGGTTGTTAAAGGAGGGAGGGAGGGAGGAGTTGATGAGGGAAGGAAACTTACGCCGTAGTCCTTGTCGCCGTTCAGGAAAACCTCGCGCCCGCGCTTGCCGCTGACGTAGGGCGCCACCTCCTCGAACTTGCCCTCCTTGCTCTCCTTCTCGATCTTGACGGCTTCACGCGCGACTTTATTGCTAAACAGCCTACTGGTATTCTTCCAGCGACGCAGCACAAGTTCGGTATCCGTTTCCTGGGCCGCGACAATCGTCTCCTTGATCTTGCGATGGATGGGCGCCTCGACCGTGCACATAAACCTAGTGCCCATATTAATGCCACAAGCGCCCAGACTCAGCGCAGCAGCCAAGCCCTGACCGTCGGCAAAGCCGCCGCTGGCGATAAACGGCACGCCGGCGAGGGACTGGCGCGCGCGCGACAGCAGGATGAAGTTTGTGATGTCGGACTCGCCGACGTGGCCGGCGCACTCGAAGCCGTCGATGGAGAGGAAGTCGACGCCGAGCTTGACGGCGCTGAGCGCGTGCCGCACCGTCGTGCACTTGTGCAGGATGGTGATGTTTGCGGCTTTGAGCTGCGCAATCACTGGCCCGGGACTGTTGCCTGCTGTCTCGACGATCTTGACCCCTTCTTCGATGATGACCCGCGCATACGCGCCGTAGTCTGGCGGCACGAGCGCTGGCAGCAGCGTCACGTTGACGCCGAACGGCCGCGATGTCATGGTGCGGCAGCGCCGGATCTCTTGGCGCAGGGCTTCGGGTGTGGGTTGCGTGAGCGCGGTGAGCTGGGGCGGCCGTTAGCATGGCCATGTAGAAGAGGAGTGGGGGCTTCTTGGGAGGCCATGGACACGTACGATTCCCAGTCCGCCGGCGTTGCTGACGGCGCTGGCCAGCTCGGCGTAGCCCACCCATTGCATGCCGCCTTGCACGACGGGCACTGGGCCATGTCAGTTCACTGTGAGTTATCCAGAGACACTAGGTCAACTAACCTGTAATGCCCAGCTTGCGCGTGAGCGCCGTGTTGAAAGGCATGGCTGCGCGCGAGTTAGGGAAGAAGTCGTAGTCGTAGTAGTAGAAGACCCGAAAGCAACGAAAAGAGATTCAAACAACAAAGAGCGGCGGCTGTCTCTGAGGCGATATGGGTATCGTAGAGCTTCTAAAACCTATCTAGAGCACAGCGGGGTGGGTTATAGGTAGAGTTGCGGCAGTGGCAGGCGTTGGTGTCAAGCTTTCCCCACATGACCCTAGCTTCCGAGGACCGAGGCTGGACCCTGTTTGTGGGGGTGGTGCTGGCCCATCAATCACATGCGGGAGCGATGACTCGCGCCGCTGCCTCTGACTTCAGCCGCACTTGCAATTTGCATACGAGTCTGAGGCTGTAGGTACCTGCAGCATGAGTAGTTACCTCGGTAGCAGCAAGGTCAATGGCCTCGGTACGTGTTGCTGTGGTTAATATATCTTAGCTGCCTGCAGGCAGTCAATGAAGCTGGCACGGAATCCAGTCTTTCTAACGCCTACTTGATACTTGATACCTAATCTCATACCTACCTTTCTTTGTAATCTTTAGCAAAGAGACATTGACCTCCAGAATCTCGGACAATCAAGTTCGATCGACATGCACGTCTTAAACATTTATAAAACACACCACACCAACCTTCCACTCCCCACTCAAACCACATACACAGCACACACGAACCAGCACCTTGATGCAATAACCCATGGAGTGACCAAAAGGCAAAGAAAAAAAAGCAAAGAAAATGGCAGAGAAAAAGTGAAAAATCCCAAAACCAAACCAAACCATAAGAAAACTAAAAATACAAGCCGTCCTTGGCCCCACTCCCTCCCTCTCGACACTCTCGCGTCCGTCTATGTATGCATGCAGCTGTGTCGTGGATGCCATGCCATACCCTCGCCCCCTCGCTCCCTCCCTCCCTCCGCCCTCATTTGATTGATTGTTTGTCTGGTCGTTTGATTGTTTGTGCAATGCAACGCAATGCGCTTCCGGCAAGTGTGCGTGCTGCGCGTGCTGAGCGTTGGATGCCGAGGGCTGGATAGGGAGGTAGGCGGGCGCTTGCTAGAGGTAGGTAGGTAGGTAGGTAGATAGGCACCTAGGTATGGCGGATGAAGACTGACAATGTGACGGCGCGGCGGTCGCGGTGGTGGTGATGTGATGTTGATGTTGTTCTCCCGCGGTAGCGCTCGACACCTATCGGCAGCTGAGGAGCGCGCGCGCACTCAAGTTGCAAAGCACAACCTAGCAAGGCCGTACGAGCGATAGCGACAAACGCGCCCCTACAACAACTGCCCCTCGGGCCCTTCCTCGCCATCACTATCCTCCGGCTCGGGCTCCGGGTCATCAGCACCAGCATCCGCATCCAGCGCATCACTATCATCAGCCCTCTCGCCCTCGCCATCTGCCTCCGCGCTAAAGCGGCCCTTTGGCTTCTTCGCCGCCGGCTCCTCGTCCGCATCAGCGTCTGCATCCGCGTCCGCATCCGCGTCAGCATCGTTCTTCTTCCCCGCCGCCGGACGTCCCCGCTTCTGCGCGCTGCTCCCCTCCCCCCCTTCAGCAACAACCTTTCTCGGCCGTCCCCGCCCCCGCTTCACCCCGTCCGGCGGGGCGGGCTTCGCTGCCTTCGCGCTGCCAACGGGCAAGCCGTCCTTGCGGGGCCTGCCGCGCCCGCGCTTCGGCGTGTTCGAATCTGGCGATGCAGCGGGAGCGTTAGCGACAGCGGAAGCGGTAGCGACCGTGGTGGCGGCGGTGTTGGCGGTAGCTTTGCCAGCTTTAGGCGCTTTCCCAGCTTTGGCAGTGGGGGTAGCGGTAGTGCTAGGAGGCGTAGCAGCGGCGGCGTCCTTGCGCGGGCGGCCCCGCGGCCGTCCGCTTTTCCCCGGCGTCGTGACGGGCGTGCTGTCCGGCTCCTTGCGCGGGCGGCCGCGGCCGCGCTTTGTTGCGCTGGCGGGGGAGGTCGAGGCGGGGGACGCTGCGGCGGCGGCGACGGCGGGCGAGGACATTGTCGTCGTCGTCGTCGTCGTCGTCGTCGTCGTCGTCGTGAGATGGGGTTGGTTTGGTTTGGTTTGGTTTGGTCCGTTGGTCGGGGAGGTCGTGCGGAGGGAGAGCGCGCTGTCACTAGGAGTGGGAGCAGGCAGGTAGGTGCCGTGCCTAGGTAGATACCTAGGTAGGTGGAGGTTTGCGCGTTCGAGGACTGGACGGATGACGCGCCTGCTACGTCGACGAGACGGAGAAAGCTAGGTAGGCGCTTTTTGCGTAAAACGGCGCGCAGCGGATTGCCGCGGCTGCAAACGAGTTTGCGAGAAGAAGAAGAAGAGCAGCACCTAGGAGAGAAAGAGAAAGAGAAAGTCAGGGTAGGGGGAGCTTCGAGAGAGGGCGAGGGCGAGCAGCGAGAGAGCCCAAACGCGTTTGTTATGTACTCTACTTTAGTACCGCGTGCGCACGCACCTACGCAAGCGTGCTCGCGCCACGCCCGGCGGCGCATTGGCCTATCAAGTGCACGCGCTCGTCTTTGCCGCGTCCGTGCGTAGCTTACATTGATTGATCGGAAACAGGCAAACGACAAAAAAAAGCCAAGGTTTCAATCCTCCATCATTTTTATATACATATAAAAATGATGGAGGATTGTTAGTAAAAAAAAACTA